CTCAGTTCCTCTCAGGCTCCCTGGGGGCAGCTTCCCTCAGGAATGATGAAGAAATAGCAAACCGGGAGGCTCAGGGCCGACCTCCTACTTCTTCAAAGGAAACAAGTGGTCACTGCTGTCCTACACTTTGGGGAGGCAATGGTACATACAATCAAAATTGTAGGGGGAAAGTAGACAAAACGTACAAGACAACTTTGGGTACCATCTTCGTATCTGGATTGAGAACTCATTTTTGTGATGGTAGGACAGTTGGCTTTGGTATGATTTATGATTGCTTGGGTGATGCAAAGAAAAATGAATCCAAGCATTCTAAGACATGGCATGTATTGGAATAAGAAAGCAATGAAAAGGACACAAGAAAAAAATAAAAACACTCAGGGGACTGAAAATTGTAGCACTGGTCCTGGCAAAAAATGAGAGTAAAGATTCTGTATGACTTTATCAATTGTAACAAACAAAGAAAATCTTACGCAATAAGGGGATACAGAATGTTTTGTCAGCGCCAACGCTGGCCACGTGAAGATTAATAAACTGCAAAAACTTTTCACAGCACTCAATTTAGACTAATTTGTAGCTTAGTAATTACCCTTTTAAAGTTATCCTCATACTAAATTATTGTCTCTTATGGTAAAAAGAATTGGGTTTATTTTTATTTTTAAATATACAATAGCATCTACATAACATTCCAAGAGTAAATCTTTTTAAATATGAATATCACTTTGGTAATTGTCAAGATGAGAAATGTCAAGTTTTTACTGCATATAGTGACAAGAACTAGGATTCTTTTGTGGAGTGTTTGACCAGAGGAATGCCACTTTTTGCATGTTTGTAATTTATATACATATACATATATATATATATATATTACATAGTAATATATATGGAGATGTTTATAATTCATTATCTTGATGCAGAGAAAACTATCTAGTTAATTTAAAACAATTAACAATTGTTACTGTCACGCCTGAGTGTCAGGAGTGCCCTGTGTGTTGCTCTGCTGGGTGCCTCTGGTCAGCGTCTCCACAAGGCTGCAGTCAAGATCAGGACAGCAGTTATTTCATGCTCCCTTGGGGAAGAGACCCCCTTCCATGCTTCCTCACCGATAAGCCTTGTTTTTCTCCCACCAGTATCAATACCCAGCCGTGTTTTCTTCCATATAGATCAATTCACAACTCAGCAACCGGTTTCCCTCAGAGTGGGCTAAAGATCAAGAAAAAGAGTGTTTAAGACAGAAAGCATAGTTTTTCATAATCTAATCTCAGATGTGACTTCATATCCTCCATATTCTATTCAGTAGGCATTCATCACTCCAGCCCACATGCAAAGACAGACAATCATATGAGGATGTGAAAACCCAGAGGCAGGATTCATGAGCACATTACCAAGGTTGCCCCCTTAGTCTATTTCCCATCGCTATAATAAAATACCTGATACTGGATAGTGTAGGAAAGAAAAGAAGATTACTCAGCTTCCATGTTTGAGGCTGAAAATCCAAGGTTAGGTAGTTACATTTGTCCAGACTCTGCGGAGGGCCTCGTGGTGGACCAATGGAAGACAGCATGGCAGAAGAACGTGAGAGGGAGAGTAGGTGATGAAAGGGAGACACTCAAAGATCACTCTAGGGGTGGCATTTTCTCTTTTATAACAATTCCCTCTCATGGAAATTACCAGGGTCCCAAGAGATCTACCTTAAGCCCTTCCAAGGGCTGTGCCACCCGTGGCCTAACACTGCCCACTAGCTCCCAGCCCTTGAAAGTTCTACCTCCTCAACACTCCCACCTGCTACTTGAGGATCAAACCTCCAGCACAACAGATGACTGAAAGCAACTCACTGACGACTTTGGGAAATACGTAGGAAGCCTGTTACCCTGCTCAAAAGGGTTAAGTCATTGGTATTTGGATATTAAAAATTAAGCAGTGAATGTGGAAACTAATTTATAAAAAAATGCAAATGACAATTTCTTAAAAAAAAAAAAGTACAGCAATGAGTTGTGTAACAGAAGAGGAACTCTGAGCTTAGGGAAGCCACAGATTTTATAATGGGCAGTAAGGCTGCTTTTTATTCTTTATTGTAAAGATGGAGACATTATTTTTACTACAGTTCTCAGTAAAAACAAAAGGAAAATATCTACCTTTGCTCTCGTGGTAGACACTATGTCTTCCACAGGTGTTCACTATATAAGCATCCTTGAAAATACAGTCTTTTACAAAAGCAATCAGTACCTTTGCTCAACAAAGCAATATGAGAGACTGATAGCTGCCTGCTAACATTCCACTGTCATTTACATTTTGTGAAAAAATTGTAGCTGTAGCAAGTTGTTATTGTGCTTAAACTTATAAGGATGAAGATATTGATTCCATGATCATCAGATATCATGAAAAGGTGTCTCTTTTTATTTGCGAAATATAAGTATGCATTACTTGCAGTTCATATATTGTACATTCTACTCTCATTCTTTACAGTAGAAAAGGTGTTGCTCATCTTATCTAATAAATATATTTACTGTTAAAAAAGGAATGTCTAGACTGGCCATTAGAATTACTTAAGACAAAATTAGAAAGAGAATTTTTAAGGTGTATAGGTTTAATAACAATCACCACATGCATCATTTTTCTTAACATTTTGACAGTAAATTTTTTCTTTAAAAATAATCAATATGCCAACATCTCCACAAACTCTCTATGAACTGTAAACAGTAAATACTATCCTGGTAGATTAGTATAATTAAACAAGTGCTTTTTTTCTTTACATTTATACTTTTTATAAAAAAGTGTTTCTTTTTTAACTGAACTTTCAACTTCTTTATTTTACTGTTGAAGAAACTGAGGCCAGAGAGCAGTAAGTGGCTCGAAATTGGCTAACAACTAGTTAATGTCAGAGCTGAGACTAAACCCCACATGCCCTGACTTGGAGCACAGGGCTCTTTCTTCTTATCCAAACCCACATATGTGATACGATAGAGCTTTCAAACCGGGGTATGCATACCCCTGCAGGCAATGGCATCTCGCCAGGGAGGGAAAGCCACAGGATAAACACAGGGTGTCTTGCTTCAGTGTAAATATTACTCAAAGATTTGAGGAGAGTCAGAGGAGCCACTTTATTTTTATATTAAAACAAGATTGACTGCGAAAGAGAATGCACATAGTACGTGAATTTTTAAAATTTTAGGCAGGGTTCCTCCATCAACAATCCCACCTAAGGTAAAAATTTTCTACTCACTCTGCTAGGGATAATTCTTTAGTAAAAACTTACCCCACCAATAGGAGGATGCCTATGAAAGAGTTTTATTCAAGAAGTGCCTTTATTAACCTCTGTCCTTGATATTTCATAGTTAAATTTGCACTATTTTAGCCTTTGTAAGTATTAAGTTATAAATTTTTCTTGAAGAAGGAAACACATTAAGGCTTTATAGTTAATGAGTTTTTGAGTTGATTTCCTAAGAAAATGTTTTGTGGGTTTTTAAAAATTTTCTTTTAGTGTAAGATAAAGAGGTTTAAAGTAAACAGAAAACAAATATATAAAATGTGATTTTTATAGAAATTAACTGGTTAGTGGTTCACCTCTGTAATATTTCAGTAAACCTATTTTGTACATGCTTCTTAAAAATTTGCATTTGTGTGAGGCACAAATGTGACCAAATAGTATTTCTACTTTTCTATGTAGCATATTCATGAATTATATCTGAAATGCTACTAGGAATATTAATACCAAAAATGAAAGAATAGATTATTGTAAATACCTTTAAAGTAGTGCATTCCCTTCACCCGATTTTTATTTCTGTAATAACAACTACTTAAATGAGAGTTTTTAGATGATTACTTCTCCAGGATAACTTGAAGGGCTCTTCCTCCTGCTCCAGGCCCAAATTCGTTTTGTTGTTGTTGTTGTTGGTGGTGGTGGTGGTGGTGGTGGTGGTGCTGCTGTTTGGTTTGACTCTGGGTTTCACCGTGCAGTTTAGGCTGGCTACAGTTTAAACTCTCCATGAACTGATATAGATCCTCCTGCCTCAACCTGCCCCTAAAGTCCTGAGATTACAGGCATGTGCCGCAACGCCGGGCTCTGAATTCTTTTTAAAAGCCCTGAAAGGGCATATTCTTGCCTTCTCATCTAGGACATTTGTATTACTCTATTTTCAACACTCGTTTTTAAAAATGTAAGTAAATGGACTCATTTCAAGCAGCTACGTGTGATTCCCAGATTTCATTTTCAAATATGATGCCAAGAAGCCAATTCATTCATTTCCATCAACATTTATTAACTACAACTGCTAGGCCCCCGAATAAGCCAGAGTTATCACCACCAAGATCCCGCCTCCCAAGATACCCAAGAGAAAGGGCAACCAGACTCACACCCAAATGAGGTTGTAGAATAGTCTATGCTGGAGATCCCAACACAGACAGGGGATATATTCGTGTATTTTAGACACACAGACGACAGACAAACTATTTTCCCCCAAGACTAGAGGATGCCTGCCAAACAACGGCTCAGTTTATGCTTTTTACTAGAGCAAGGACTTTTCTGCTACTGACTCAATACATCCCTGATCTGAGCCAACAAGCCCAACAGGAAATTTCATTTTTCTGCGTCCATGGAGCCCTGGGGGAGCCTTAATCCAGCCACCTCCACCTGCATCTCCTTCGTGTATCTGGGTCCCCCATGAGGCAAGCAACGTCCTCGCCACGGTAGAAGCTGTCAGGGGGCACCAGAAGTCCAGCTTTTAAAATGTATCTTGCTCCAGCTTCCATGGCGCTCCCACTCTCCACGCGTGACCGGTGGACACCACACACCTCCGTCTTCAGGAGCCTGACCCCGCCGACGCTCAGACCTGGCGTCCTGGACCTGGGTCCTGGCAGCCGGGCACACACAGCCCCCCAGCTGTTCTGCCGGGAAGCCCAAGGGCACCTCGCTGCCCGCCAAGGGGCACTGCAGAAGCCTCGGTCTCCCCGCTGGAGATTGGCTTTGAGACCGCTGCAAGCCACAAGCATTTGGTGACGGAACAATGGGCCTGGCAGGGTCATCGGCGCCGCCTGCGCCCCCGCGTCCTAGAGTCTTGGAACCGCACCCCATGCCCCGCACCTTACCGAAACGCAGTCCCCCTCGGGCCTCCGAGCCTGCCCTGCTCAGCAGCCTCCAGGTAAGCGACCCTGACACCCAGCACCAGCACCCTGCCTGCCACAGGCCGACCTTGGGTCAGGGGGCCCACTCAGTCCTGCTACTGGACCAGAGGTCCCCAATTTCCAGGGTCTAAGTTGAGGACTGTCTGGATCCACAGTTAATAGGCTGACCTCGCTGAGCATCCTCTACTGCTATATCAAGGGTGGCTTAGAGATTAACACATCACTAATTAAGGACTCCTGAGTCTCAACACACAGTTACATATACATTACTGCATATGCACGCTCCTGATACTGGGCTATGTACATGGACTGCAAATATGAGGTGTGATCCAAGTATACCATCAATGATTAAATTTTAAATAACTTATTACAGTGAAAGACATTCCCATTAATTCCTCTCAAAATGCTTTCCCTCACCTATCCTATCCCATCTTCTCATTAATCTCTGAAGCACTTCTGAAGTCGCCTTTCCTGAGTGTCTTTCAGAGATGTGATTAAAAATACAGGAAAGCACCAGCAGAGAGGAAGCGATCCAACTGAAAAGCAGGCTGACTTGTCTGCAGCGCCTTGGAACTAGTGTGATAAAACCAGGCTGAGAGTTTTAAAATCAGTTTAAAGCTACTCACACTAAGTCCCCATGTGTGGTGCGTGTTGCCTGTAGGTATTAGAACTGAGTATCAGAGAGGATATTTTCTTTTAAGGACTTTAATGCAGATTTCGTTCTTCAAGATGTTAATAATCCTGTATTTTAACAGCATTTTTGTGTTGTATCTGGGTTGTAAGTGACTGGGTAGTGAAGGAATTGCTCACTCCTTTGACGCATGTAACTGCTCAGCTCTCATTGCTGCAACCCACGTGGCTCTTGAGGTTCCTGGGGCAGAGGATGAGAAAGTAAAGAGACAAAGCTGGGGTCAGGTGGAGCCCTTTCTGTCCTAACCAGAAGAAAGGAACTGCTCAACCACTGCAGCAGAAGGATACTGTCAATTTCAACACCCCTGCCCAGCAACATGTTTGCCTGGCTGGCCTGGGCCCTTTGCCTTCCTGGAGCTGGAACAGGTTGTTTACTGGCTTGCTTCGGGTTCTCTGTGTTTTCAGGGCTGGCCTTGCCGTGCCCCACACACATGATCACTCTCTGGCTGCAACAGCTCCCAGTACGGCTTACCTCCCTGACCTCTCTGATGAGATCTGCATTTGCACCTGCAGCTTTCTCCTGGCTGTCTTGTCTTCTGCGTTCCACCAGGGCTCCAACCTCCGCACTTCCCAGCTGACCTCCTCGTTATCAAGTCGTCCTCACATCACCTCAGCTGAGACTTCCCTGCACTTACTGGCTCCTGCAATACCTCACCAGTTCCCCTAGGTGTTCACACAGGCAGCCTCCTGTCTGTTTACTGCCCTCCCCCGCTGCCACCACCCTGCTGGCTGATGAGCTCCACCTTGGTGTTACAGAGGTGCCCTTGCTTCCTGTCTGCCCCTTTGGCTGCACAGCCAACCTGGATCCTGCCAAATGGAGTAACTAAGCACCTGGGTTTAGGGTACCAACATGCAAGAAAAGGATGAAAATGCTTTTGTAATAAGTTCATATCTGGTATTCTTTAAAAGATTGATGTGGTTATCATGGGAAAAATAAGAGTTCTGTTGGACTTTCTTACATGGCTTTTATCATGCAGTTAATTCGTATATATGTTTTTCATATGTATGTATATATGTGTAGAGGTCATATAAAATCAAGTTAATTTAAATGAGTTTGCAGAAACTATGTGAGTTTTTAGAGTTCTGCAAGCCGATAGAAGCTTTTCTTGGGCGCTCATCAGGTGCACACTCCCAAGCCTAAATTTCAAAGTTAGCGCTTATAACATGACCCCAATCTACCTTCCTTTATTTGTTTCTTACAGCTGACTTCCGCATGCCTTTCATTACAGCGAAGTCACTACAGCTTCCCAAGTCTCAAGCCCTTCTTCCATCAACAGGCTCTTTTCTTCTAACCCTTGAAGGTCCTTCTGTTGGACCTGGCCGGAAGTCATCTTCTTCCCTGGATTTGCCAGGGTGTTTCCACTTCTTGTAGCCCTTACCATTAGCAACCTCCTTTTACAGTATTTCATGTCCCTTCCTTCTGCCACCACGAGTTAGGCTTGTATACAGCAGGCATCTTTCACTCAGTTCATTGCTACATTCATAGCTAATCGCAGATCAGTCAAACTACTCACAATCTAAGCTAAGCGCTCCGTAGTTTATGGTTTAACAAATGGCTGAGCGAATCTGTTTGGACTATTTTTAAATATGTTCATCTCAAAGAAGGCTTGTTGTATACAGTCACCGTAGAAAGTGATATGGCAGTTTTTCAAAAAATTAAACTCAGGATTACCGTCTAACCCAATAATTCCACTTCTGTATATTTGCCCAGATGAAGTACCCAAGTTCAGGCAGGAAACTGCACAGATCTTTGTACACTATGTTCACAGTAGCATTGTTTGTGATAGCCAGAACAAGAATCAACCTGTGTCCACTGACAGATGCATGGGCAAAGAAAACATGGTTAAAACACAGTAGAATATTAGTCTTTAGAATGAACAACATTCTGACACATGCTATCGTATAAATAAATGATTCTTGACATTATGTTAAGGGAAATCAGCCAGTCGCACATGGACAAATTCTGTTCACTTCCATGGAGTACCGAGAGTGCTCAAACCCGTAGAGATAGAGTAGAGTAACAGTTGCCTTGGGCTGGAGGGAGGAGAAAGTAAGGAGTCTGTATTTAAGGGGTGCAGAGCTTCAGGTACAGAGGACAAGTTCTGGAAGTGGATGGTGCATGAGTCTCACAGAATTAGGAATGTACTTGCTGTGAATGGACTTAATACCACAGGTTCATCAACGGTGTGTGTGTTTGACAACATTATAAGTAACAGGGAAGGGGAGCTTTCTGGGGCTCTTTAGGGGAAGGAAGGAGTGTGCCACTGGGAAAGCTGGGTGTGGACTGGTGCCCAAAGCCACCCTCCTGCCAGTCCGCTGGAGCCTGAAACTGCTTGGCATACTTTCACATCCCTCGGCAACTTTGGTAGTAATATTTTGTTGCAAAATTGCTGATTGGAAAGAAACATTCCATGATAGAGTTGTGTGAGTAATTAATTATGCCAGTGATTTACATATTATGCAGCTATTTTCTGTTCCCTCTGTACAGCTTATAAATAAATCTTTATTCATTGGTTAAAATTTTCAAAACAAGTATTACTTTCTGATTATCAAATTAATGTGTTTGTTATAAAACATTCAAACATTTTTAAATGTATTACCAGCAAGCCCCCAGGTAATACATTGCACACACCTATATTCCCAGCTTCAGGAGCTGAGGCTGAGGCAGGAGGATCGCTTAAACCCACAAGTAACAGAAAGAACCTGTTTCATAATACAAAAATATATCGCCTGAAAAGCAAAACTCTCTCATGATCTCAAGTGATAGCTTTAAGTAACAATTGGAAATGTGTGCATTTTGTATGCATACAGATTTTATTTTTAACAAAAACATTGTTTCACTTATATAGGTTACTCTGCCTCTTACTTTTCTACATAGAAACACATGGTCCATATCTGTGTATGTCTAGATACCTACCAGTATTAGAATTCTTTAGAGAAATATAACCAATAAAGATGCATATACCAGAAAGGATTTATTTATGGGAGACTAGCTTCTTGATTAAAAAGGCTGACAAGCCCTGCAATCTGCTGGCTACAAGCTGGTAGTTCAGGAAATCCAGGGGGGTAAGAAAGCTCAAGTCCACAGGCTGAGCACTGGTCTGCAGGGAGGTGAGGTTGTGAGACCCTGCTGTAGAAGAAAATATAAATTTGTCCTTCCTCTGCGTTTTTGTTCTGTTTTTGGCCCTTGTTAGATTAGTGATGCCCACCCATATCAGTGACCTCCTTTACACACTTTATAATTCAAATGCCAACCTCTTCCAAAAACATGCACAGACATGCACAGAAAACTGTTTTACCAGCTATCTGACCCTCTGTTAGCCCAGTTATGCTGATACATAAAATTAGCCATCATGTGAATCTCTCTGTGTTTTTAAAGCTTCTGCACAACACAAGGTCACACATTAGTCTATGCTACAGTCATTGGGCATGTTTCGCACCCACAGATAGAGCATGCAGAAATGAACAACCATGCATTTTCTCTGTGTACAATGCATTTTTCTCTGTGTACATACATGTATGCATCTGAGTAATGGAGGTGAATAGCAATAAAGTTGGTTTCTCTTATACGAGAAACACAAAGTGTAAATAAAAAGCAAAATGAAAGAGAGGAAATAGGAAACAGGGAGGTAGAACTTTTACAAATGGGAAGGGGACCAAGAGATGAAGGGAGAAGGGAGGGAGGACAGGAGAGGCAAAAGGGTGAAAAAGGAGTTAAGATGTGTCCTAAGTGCCAGCTCCCCGCAGCGAATGCCATCGTTATGTGCTACAAACGCACTAATAAAAACTTTAAATGGAAACAATTAAATCAAATAAAAATAGAATTCTCAGAAAAAGTACATTTACAGTTTTAACAGATGACTGCATAATTTTAATTCTATTTTGACTGGCATCAACCACCCAAACACTTTAGAAAATTGAGATTGACTATACATAGCAGAGACCAAACGTCTTGGTAGTTAAAATTAAAATACCTAGATCAGAACAGCTAAGCCTGATCCAATGAGCTTTTCCAAAATGCAGCTTGTAATAAAAATCGCCTGATAAGAATACCTAAGCCTGAGCCTATAAATTCTCCAAGCCCCTACGTTCAGCTTGCTTAGCAAGAACTCAACGGAATTTACAACTGTAACTCTATAACTGTCTTCTATTATTAGGACCCCTACCTTCCTCGCTGCTTTAAATATTCATTCATATCATCAAATTTAACTCTCCTTAAAACTCTCAACTAAATGTGAAAAAATTCCCCCTGACATTACAACCTTACCACCCACAGCAAATCCAGCAGAAATCTGGTGATTATTTCACTCCTAAGCATTCAATATTTTTTATATTTCAGAATTGCAACAGTTACACTTTTTACTTCTGTTATGTCTTTTTAGCTCTGCTCTTTTGTGGCAAGACAGGCTCTAATTTTTCCATATCATTTTAAGTAATGTGGCCTGTAAATATTATTTTGTTAATTAGTAAGGAAACTAAGAAAAAGCACGTCAATAGTTATTGCTGAATTTGTGTTTTCCAAGCAAAAACCTATGAAAAGAAAGTTGCTGTTTTTTCACAAAAATTACCACAATATGAATTTGTTAATAACTCATGAAAAATGAAGTTAATCAGAGCAAAATACTTTTATTTACTTATTCAGAGAAAAATGGTATTTATTCACTCACTTATTCATTTGTTTGATATTTGAGAACTTACTGGGTGTCTGGCATGATATGGGTTGTTAAAAAAGAATTTGCTATAACAATATATATTATATTCTATCCAACTCAATTCCAACCCAATACTAAATGTCTTTAAAATATAGGAATCCTATAAAATGTTAATTATTTACATTTGAAAGAACAGCTAAGAATAATTTTTAAAACCCAATTACCCTGCCTCTCAGAAAATCAAAAATTTATTTTTGGTGTATTTGCACATTTTTTCTCTCTGATTAAAAATTATTTACATGTCTCTGTCCTGGATCTGTGCAGGATTAAGAGTAATGAAATTCAACCACAAAAAAGAGTAAATAATATATAATTGTAGTGTTAGAATTTATCATTTTAGAGTGGTTGACTCCAAATTCACCTTTCTTTGATCTCCTTGTAGATCTATTGTCATTGACTGCAAATGCCTCAGTATTTTTGCTCATTGGAATGTGGTTTGACAGATTAATTATATGTTATCAGGCAATTGAAGATCAGCTAAAGATATATGGTTACAAGAGGGATGCTGATGTCTTTGAGCTGTTCCTCTCTCAAAAGTAAGTGTACTTTATGTTTTTTAAAAAAGAGTATCCTGTTAGAGTCTCCCATAGATTCCAATGTTCTTTTCTATTTCCTCTCCCACCTCAAGGACTGGATGAACAACCTCATTCTAATTACTTATTATTATGATGGATCCACTCTTTTTATTGGAGAGAAACAAATGAAATGGATAGAAACAAAGATTAAGGAACCAGGCTGAGTTTGAATGCCAGCTCTATCTTTTCTACTGGATGATCTTAAGATAGTACATAAACTTTCTGTTAAGATTGTCATTTCTAGCAAATGAAAAACATAGAATACCTGGTTAAAGCTTAATTTTAGATGAACAATAAATATAATTTCTTCAGTATTGTATGTCCCACACAGTATTTAGGAAATTTGTTTCTCTGAAACTCAAATGCAACCTGGTACCCTGTATATTACCTTGCGACTGACTCAGTTTCCTGAGTATAATAATACTGTTTTATTCATAGGGTTGTATGGAGATTAGGTGAGTTAGTAAAAGAAGTAGTCCTGGTATCCAGTGAACACTCGGTTGTCAGTATAGTTAATATTTACTATTATTAGGACTCATGATCCATTTATACTCCTATATTATAATAACTCTTATTTTGCTATGACCCTGAACAACTCCTATATTAACCTTAACAAAAAATAGGAAAATCCCACCACCACCATGTTATGATGCAGTAAGAAGCCCTTTGCCAGATGTGGAGCCTGTGACTTCTAACTGCCCAGCCCCTGGAACTGTAAGACACAATTTGTATTCTCTATAAATTATTCATTTTCAGATATTCTGTCATGGCAACATGTATTAGTCAGCTTTCATAGTATTGAGATACAATTGCTTAATACTCAAAGGACAAGTTCAATCTGGCTCACGGTTTCAAGGGTGCAGTCCATTATCAGCTGTTCCAAGGCAGGAACATCATGGCAGAAGGATGTAGTGGACCAAAACTGCTCAATTCTCAGCATCCAAGAAATGGAGCAGGAGAACAGTGCCAGGAAAGAAGGATCCCAGAACCAAATATAGACTCAAAAGGCCCCTCTCAGGAGCCAGGTGCACTGAAGTGTGCTTCACTGTATTTCCGTATGGTTCCTAAGCCATTCAAGCTGACAATCCAGTTTAACCATCACACAGCACAAAAAGGACTTAGACTCCATTCCTACTCTTCATTTTCTTCCTTTATGTTCTTACGTCATTGTGAATTCTATGTATTATTTTAAAATAGGCTTGTCATATTTTTACTCCTATATAATCTTCAAATCTCAGCTTCTTCATAAAGAAAATGCCCTAGTTTATCAATGAACTGGTCAATTTTATCTCTAGTGATGTGAGTAAGTTCTTTATTAATAAACATATTTAGTTCACTATAATTAAATATTTATTCTTAATGTATTAGTACAGAAAAAAATGTTCATCTTTGAGGCAGCCCTGAATATATGGGAAGTAAGGGAATAAAGTGATGAGTAATTTGAAATTTTAAACACATACATATTGTAGAATGGAACAGATGTAATAAAATATTCAGACAGACTTAAGGTCATGCTTTGATCCTCTCCATAGGTAATCTAAGTATTTTGATTTTGATTGTACACTATTGATCACTAGGGTGAGTAGATTAGTTTTAAAACATTAGAAAAATAGAAAGCTACAATATTGATCCTCTGTCCATAGATATTTAATGATTTTGTATGATGGACAATACCTTTTATAACCATGAAATACTAGATTACAATTTAATATAGCTGGGGGCAAATATTTTACAGTCCATAAACAAATAAGGAAAATGAAATGGCTGTTTTCTGAAGTCTCTGTTGCCCTTGAAAAATGAAAAGAGTTTTATCAGTGTCTCCATGGGTAATCCTGGAGCTCACACCATGATGAGTGATGGATCATTATCAGCAGTAGTCATTGCCATCATTAGTAAAACTGTTTTCATTGTCTTCAGTTGACTTCACCTTAAAATTTAACAGCTTACAATTGATTTAGAACAGGCTTTTATGAGCAAAATAAAACTTTCCAATTTAAAAGAGTTGAAATTCCCTGAAAAAAAGTGAATCGCTTATGTCTAAGAGCTGAAAATTCAGTATTGATGTTGCTACAAGAAAATTAACAGCACCTTAACACAGTTAGTATTTTGAAGTATTAATGTATTAAAACAAAGTTTGTGTGAAATCTTCTAATTACCTCTTGAGATCCTTTGAAGCTACCATAAACAACTGCTTTTTATTCATCACCGTAAAAGGTGGTGCTAATGTGCTACCATTCCTGCCCAATGCAACAGTTAGGGCCCACCGAGGTCCAAGTGCTATTTCCCAGAAAGAAATCGCAGAACCTCAGTAAAAGAGAGCATATTAAGTGTGTAAATTTCCAACTGAAAGTTGCTTTAGAGGAGCATAGAATATTTCATGGTGCTAGAGAAGTGCACGAAGACTAATGCCACATGTCAGAAAGACTTGGGGGTTCTTTTAAAAGTCCTCAGCTTGGGTACTTTGAGAATTTTTAAAAAATTGATAAGAATTAAGAAAAATCTACAGGAATTCTGAAAATAGTGGCTTGATAGGTAGCAGGGTAGAGAGCCTCTCTGAGATAAACAACTCAGACGTTAAAAACAATTTAACGACATGGAGAAGACCAGATGAAAGAAGAGGGATTCTCATGACCCAGGAAGAAACTGAGGAAAAAGAAAAAGAAAGAAAGAAAGGAAAAATACAGGTGGAGGGCTGGAGTGAGACACGCTCACTGGGACGCATCCCATGCTGTCCTGGGAACACCATGGAGTCAAATGATTACAGTAGCACTAAAGTCGCAGCCGCTGATAATGGGAGTTAGTGAGTCTGGGGGCCTTGGCAGGCGTGGAGTGGAGCCAAGGTGGAGAGCTGCATTAATTCTCGGTGAGTGCTGGAAATTAGGTTGTGTGGCAGATGTGGCTTCCTGGAGGACATATTGGAATTGGGCAGGACAGGCTTGAGCCTGGAGCCGTGGTGGTATCAGTCAGCTGCCCCTGTCCCAGAGAGACTGGTGGGACCTGCGTGGGCTGGGTCACACCGCTGGTCGGGACTCAATAGCCAGGAACAAAACTGTCCCGAATCTGTGACATCCACACAGCACAGACTAACGTGCTGAAGGCACTCACCAGTTGACTGGCTTAGAAGAGAAAGGCCAGCACACAGTCCCTGCATACACCTCAGATAACAGCAAACTGGAGAGGGCAGCCAGCTCCTAGCCAGCACACTTCAGAAAAACCATAAGCAATACAAAGAGGGCCTGAGACCTCCACCACACACCTGTCTGAAAGAAACCAGAAACATGACAAGAGAAAAAAAATAAGAAAAAACCTCCAGCCACTGACCCTGGGAAAATAAGTCCAGGAGGGGTAAATACAGAAGAGAACCAGTGCAGCAGTCATGCAATGTTGTCCACAACATCAGCAGACATTAAAAAATACCTTTGTGACCTCATAGACCAACTTAAACTGAAATTTTAATCCAAGTGAGGCAAAATATAAAGATTAAGAAAAGAAATGCTAAGCCCCTCTCAAGAAGACACAGATGAAAGAATGGAGGAACCCAGAAAAAGAAGAGAAACCTTTGGTGAAGAATATAAACAAAATCTAGAATACATGAAACAGATCCAAAGAGATTACCAGGAAATTAAAAAAACTCTTGAAAGCTGGCAAAATGCCTTGCCAGAAACTAAAGTTAGCCTTTCAAAATTTGAAGATAGATTTGCAATGTGTGATCGTGAAAGAAAAGACCTCTTAAAAATAACAAGGAACCAGGAAGTAACAATACAAAGGCTAGAGGACAACAAGAGGATCTATAACTTAAGAATAAAAAAAAATGAGTGAAGAGGCAGGAATAAACACAAATGAATTACAAAGGCTATTCACAGAAATAGTTAAGGAAAACTTCCCAAGCATAGGAAAAGGAAATTATATCCAGATAAATGAGGCATACAAAACTCCAGCCAACTACAACCAAAATAGATCTACACCCAGACATATAATAATCAAGATCCCAGAAATTCACTACAAGAACAGAATATTAAAAGCGGTCAGAGAAGAGAAACACATTCCCTATAAAGAAAAATCCATCAAAATAATGACAGACTTCTCAACACAAACTATCAAATCAAGAGCTTGGAGTGAAGTAGTCCAAGCCCTGAAAGAAAATAACCTCCAACCCAGATTGATGTACCCTGAAAAACTCTCTCTCAAAATTAATGGAGAAACAAGATGTTTCCATGACAAGGAGGAACTGTGGGAGTTTGTGACCATCAACCCAACCCTACAAAAAATACTGAAGAACATTCTTGAGAGAGATAGAAAAAAATACCAGGATTCAGCAACAGTGGCAGAGAGGCCTCAATGAACAGTGCAGACAGTGGAATGAAGGAGAAAAGTAGACAAATTATATCAGAAAAATAGAATAGCAGAGAAGGTTGGCTATAATCTCTAACACAGATGGCCTTGATACACTAACAAAAAGAAACACAAGCAGAGATATTTGATCAGGGGGATAAGATCCATCGAGATGCTCTGAATAGGAAATATACTTAACCTGAAAGAGGGTTAATAAACCGAAAGCCAAAGATGAGAAAACAATGCTCTATGTGACAGGGAACCAGAGAGAAATAGGGACAACTCATCCAGCAGCTGCAGATATATTGGAAAGTCATGAAACTTTTGTGCAGTGGAGAACTACTCAGCTAGAAGGAAGGAAAAGCCTTGAGGCTTTCGTAAGTAAAGGAGTACAGCTCAAGATCAAGCTCAGGGGTAAAAAGGTTCAGCACCACTTAGATAGATAACGGGTTGCCCCCCTAATCTAAAAACTAAAGGAGTTAGTGGGACCCAAAATGTACAAAGCAACCTGAGAAAGGGAAAGGGGAGGAATTGTCTAAAAAGTAAGGCAGAGGACATTGTTAATAGTGTATCAGGATTTAAAAGTCACGGTAGTCCTATCACTCATTTAGTTTGATTTTATTCTCTGCTCCAGTCTGTCTACTCATACTAGATTTGAGGGCACAGACAGCTACCCCAAAAATAGCAGGATATACTGCAGTAACTATCCTTAATTTCCTATTAACTTAATCTGAAGCCCTGTGTTACTTATATTGTCTTACTATGACTGATCTTATTTGAATCTGGTTTGTTGTTTTGTCTTGACTGATTTTATTTGAATTTGGTATGCTTGATAATATCAAGTCTAAGAGTAGAGGCAACTACTCTGAAGATGACAAGATGCAATAAGATACCCATTCCGGTTTGATTATTAACTGCTTTTGAAGTCTCTGAAGTGTTTTTATTAAAATTGCTATGTAATGCTACGTTCAATTATATTGTACCTGATGATGTAGACAATTCTATTGAAAATAACAAGAGACAGCATAGTAACTACTGTAGATCACCTAGTATTGTGGTTTTATATGTCTTCTTCACTTCATGTTTTTCTAGGAGTTTATTTTGCTGTCTTGTTTTAATCTGTTTTTCCCCTATAATACAGAAAGGATAGGTATACATGTAGAAATTCACACATGTGGAGAATTTCTAAACAGTTTACGGGAACAGATTATATAATACACTATGTAGTCAACAGATACTCTGAAGAAGAGACACTAAAGATACCCAGTGCTAATTCTATAGCATTATGATATAAAATCTAGCAATATTCACTGTTCAGAGTGATGTGAGTCTAGTCTCTTATGTTTAATTTCAACATATGTAAAGATATGGACAGCTATTTTGAAGAGAACGAGAGACATTATGGCAGTCATTGTTGACTTCCCTATTGTCTGGTCTTGAAGACCTAAAAAGCCTTCATCATCCTGTTCTGATTAGTTTAGTACTATAATGTTCAGTATGTATTCACTGTGTGTGAAGATGGGGACAACTATTTGGAAGAAAACAAGAGATTTAAAATTGTTTCCTTATTATCTCTTTTGCTGTTTTATTCTGTTTAATTTTACCCTCTTTAAAAAAAAAGAATTAAGAAAAATCTGTGTAAATCCAGACAGTGTGTAAAGAGAATGAGGGAGAGAAAGAGGAGAAATGGGCAGCTACTCTTTATAGGAAGGTATCCATTAATCATGTCAAAAGAATGAGAAAATTATAAAAATCATAACTTTACAATCTCAGATCAATTACTTCAGGTAGGAATTGTCAATTGATGCTAATCCCATTAGACAGTTTTTAGGGGACATGATCTACATGTGGGGTCCAAGTTCAGCCACACATAGTACTTTGCAATTACAAAATTTGTACTTTGATGGTAAAGAGACCTGGCGTACACCGCCTTAACCAAGTGACTGAGCTTGGCTTTACCGAGAGTGAGATGAACTGGCCCCTGCTGAGCGGCAGTTACCACCAGTGTCACTGAGAAGTGATCTAGCTTGAATTTAATTATGAGAAAACCAGCAGACCAATTAAGAACTGGGGCATTCCTTCAGACAACTCTTTTGGACACTTCGAAAAGTCAATTTTAGCAGGGAAAAAAGGTGGCGAAATTGTAACAGACTGAAAGATTGTGCATTGAACACCATATGTGAATGCTGATGGAATTCGGAGGAACTATAAATGAAATCTAGGGTCAGTAGGGAAATCTGAATGTAAGCGGTAAATTAGATGACACTATGGAATTCAACTTTATCTTCTTAGATGTGATAAAGGTATTGTGACTAGAATGTCCTGATTTGTAAGATATACATTCTGAATTTTTCATAAGTGACAAGCCTATGATAATAAGCCTGCAAGTCATTTTTAAATGACTCACCAAAGAAATTATATATATATATATATATATATATATATATATATATGATCTGTTATACAAATAGAGTGAGAAGAATATTAAAAATTATAAAAGATCTTATAGTGTTCATTCCTTCAACTTTTCTTAGGTTTGAAATCTGTCAATCCAAAAATTGGTTAGAAAAGTTTATGTTGCTCAGAAATATTGTTTGCCGGTTACATTAAAAAATGTATGTTACCATAAAAACTAGGGACATTTCAGTCTGTCAAGGTTCCAAGGTTAGAAGTAATTGTGAGAGGATGTTACAGTACATGCTATGTGTGATAAATAAAAGAAACGTATGTATAAGTCCTTGGGATCCACAATACTGCTGGAAGTGGGGGATCTGAAGACTCTGGGCCATGTCGGGCAGACGGTCAGCTCTCCTCAGAGGCCCGGCCTTTCCTGCTGACAGCCCGCTCTGAGTCCTCTGCACCTGGCCCTTTGTTCAGTGAGCTGCATCAGACAAAGGCCACGCCACATGGACAGCTGGAATCCACGCAGTCCAGCAGGGCTGGTAATACACTGACTCCACAGCTAATAAACAAGAAAGCACCCTTCTCAGTCCTAACTTTTGGTGTCCTGCAAATTTCAGTTCCTAAGTCCAACCTGGTTAAGCTCAGGACTGGCCCCAAAGTGAAAGCCCTATAGAAAACACTGAAGCAAGAGCTAATTGTGTTGTTCTACACTCACCTAAAAATCCAATATCTTCTTTACTTTACTTTCTCCCTCTGCCCTCTCCCCAGTGAAATTTGTTTTGAAATAAGATTGCAATAAATTTAGTCATTGTGAGATATGAATTTCTGCTACTGTGCTAATGTGCTCTCTTTGAAGTATGTGTCAGCTACTGTGCTAATGTGCTCTCTTTGAAGTATGTGTCAGCATTAACTAGCTAGTTAGGTTACGCTAACAAATTTCAGAAATTAACAGGCAATGTGACAACAACTTTTTTTCCTTTCTGGATGGTGGCACCAAGGCTCGAATTCATGACCTCTCACTCGCCAGACAGGTGCTTACCCCACTGAACTAAATCCTTCACCCAATGTCAACAATTTTGAAAGGACAGAAAGGCCTTTCTAGTTACAAACAAGCCATCAGACCTCGATAGACAGCCTTATTCATGAGTGAATTAATCATTGCTAATATTCAACCTTTTTTTCTTTCCAGGAAACTGACAGAAGTCGTTGATCTTTCTAGGTTTAGAAAATTAAAATACTTATGGCTTCATCATAACAAGGTAATAGTATATTTTGTCTTTAATAAATTAAATTATCTTAATTTAAAGTTAATATTTAGAAGTATTATCACTTTATACTTACATTTAAGCAGACAAGAAACACATATAACCTAGATATCTGTACATATGTAGCTGGGGTCTGTATATAGAAAAATAAGTATGTATCTGGGATCTTGGGTAAGGACAATCTCTGAGAGTCTATTAGAGTGCAATTTTACTCCTGTCTCCTACCTCCTGGGAAGCTGTTCAACGGAGACTACTTCTTCCCTGGATCCCAGAAGAAAACCTGGACAGTGCTATGACTCTTCTCCTAGAGAACACAAAAATCCTGTAATCTGTTTGGTCACAGTCATAGTCCCATTCATAAATGGGAGCACATTAATCAACTGTCACTCTTCATTCACAAAAGAGACACACAGGCCCTCCCAGCCACAGCAAGGGCCAACTGCAGATGACACCTACCCTCTGCATTAACCAGGGTGATATGGTGGCTGGTGTCCTGCCCCCTTGCCTGCCCCCAGACTGTTCCAGGTTTGGTATGGAGTAGGAGATGGGGGGATGGAGGTAGACAGGCAGGGAAGACGTGGTTATTTTTGCTTTGTATTTCTAGTACTAGCCGGTCTTCCAGGCTGACTTTTATCCTGAGGAGTATTCACAAACTTCTTTGCTAGGGTTTTCAAGACCAACTCCTGTTCTCTGGTCACACCTGACCTCACCTTACCTTTATCCCAGGGCTATTTGCAACTGAGGATCTCTGGACCTTGGCAAACTCTGCCCTGGAGCAGAACCCCTTGCAATGTGCCAGCTCAGCCCTCCTACAGTGTTCCCACGTCCACTCCCCAGGACTCATATCTTTCTTCTGTAGTCAGAGGCCAAGGGTTTGTTGAGCCCTGTTGCTACTCAAGCTGATTTGCACTCAGGAAGCATTATGCACCAGGCTACCAAGTCCCCAGCTGCAAGGAACAGGCCTCAGACACACAAAGTACAGTCTCTGAAGCTTCTCTTCAAGGACAGGGCTTAGGAGGAAGTACCCTCTCACAGTACAGGCGTAGGTGTGAACTCCAAATGCTTTCCATATAAAAAAGCAAGACTTGACTAAAATGCAAACCCAAACCATCATTATAGTTGTCTAGTCAGGAGGTCATTTTCAACTTTTATTAATGTGGCTTTTTAATAACTTGCATTCTGTTCATTATACACGGATAATTTAGGGCTGGCATTTTGAATTTATGCTTTCCAACACCAGCTGGTTGAAAAAATTACAGCCGTAATCTGCCTGCATGCAGAAGTCCACATTCACACTGCATCTTTAAACAGCCATGTTTCTGAAAATATTTCAATATTTCATCACATTTTGGGGGTTTTTTTAACCAAATGAGTGGAAAATGCAAAATGGTACCACTTCGATATTAACTAAAAGCATAAGTCTCATAAGCTTGAAGTAATTTCTAGAAGAACAAACACAAATACCTCCAAGGCCGGGCAGTTAACAACTGGATTGGAAAGTGCTTGCATTCCCTAAGGGCATTTGAGCTGACTCTGCCACAAATTATCTGGGGTCACAGCCTGCGACCTCTGATTAGCAAAACACAGAACTCATCGGACTCGGCAAAAGTGACTCATCTTTGTGTTTAGTACGCGCTCTTTGTGGTGATGTTTAGTTCACAATGGGTACAAGTGTTGGCATAATATCTGGGGTGAAACAGGGAATTAACATCTTTGTCTCCTGTTTTGGCTTTCTGGGAGTGGACATGTCCGAATGAACTTTCACACAGTTGAACCGCAGATGCATTGTGCACATGGGAAGGGGTTGCATGCTTTGTCAACTGTTTTATTATTTTTTTAATGTTTGGTTTCCTTTTAATTTTTTGTTTTCATATTTTGTCATGGGGGATTGGCACATAATACAGCTTGTTTCTTTTTTTAAATCACCGTCCCACTTCCTCTTTCCTCCTCCTTTAATTCTCCCCCTAACTGTCTTTACATTCTTGTTGCTATTGGTAATCTTCATGCAGAGTTATGGCATGAAATAGCCATATTCATTAAGGTTATTAGGACCTTTACCTGGCATATCTTCACTCTACCTGTTTCCCTATGGCCTCCCCCTTACCAATCACCTTGATTACCCACTATACAGGTAGTTTCCTGGGTTTAGCTATTATAAATTGTGCTGCTGTAAACATTTGTATTTCTGTATCTCTGTAGTCTGATATCTTAAGATCTTTGGAGAAGATATGTAGAAAGTGAGTAACTGGGTCATTTGGAATTCCTAATTTTAGTTCTTCAGGAAAGCTACATTCTGATTTCCATAATGATTGTATTAGTTTATATTTCTACCAACAATGGAGGAGTGTTTCTTCTTCACCACAGCCATGCCAGCATTTGTTAGTTTTGATCTCATGGTGATTGCCCTGCTGTCTGGAGTAAGATGAAATCTTAGCCTTGTTTTAATTTGCATCCCACTGAGATGTGTTTTTTGCATCTTACAGATGTTGAACATTTTCTCATGTATTTGCTGGCCATTTTTATTTCTTCCTTGGTGAAGTATCTGTTCACTTCACTTGCCCATTTCTTGACCGGTTCTTTAATTTTAGGTGATCAAGTTTTTCTTAGTTCTTTATATATTCTAGATACTAGTCCTCTGTCTGAGGAAGACTGAGGAAGACTCTGAGAAGTAGCTGGCAAAAGTTTTTTTCCCATTCTGTAAGTTGTCTCTTCACTCCGCTAATTGATTCTTTAGCAGTACAGAAGTTTTTAGTCTGGTATGATCCTGTTTGTTGATTCCTGCTGTTATTTCTTGTGCAATTGAGGTTCTATTTAGAAAAAAACCTTTGCTACGCCTATGTCTTTAAGTGTTTTACCTATTTTACCTTCCAGTAAGTTCAATATTTCTGTTTTAACGTTTATATCTTTGACCCATTTTGATTTTAATTTAGTACACGGTAAGAGATAGACCAGTTTCAGTCTTCTGCAGGCAGATAACCAGTGTTCCGAGCACCACTTGTTGAGTAGGCTACCTTTCCTCCTCCTCTTCTTATGCTTGGTTATTTCTATGCCACAAACAATGTCATCACCTACTTTGAAACAGATTTGAGTAGCTCATGTAATGTTGAAAGGACATCATGCCTGAAACGAATTCTAAGTGAGGTCCTAGGATAAGCAAATAAGCTAATATGAGATTTCTTATTGGCTGATAATTGCCTGGCTGTGAAGCTTCCCTAGTAGTCATATTCCATTAAAAATTAATATCACAAATTCTACCAGGCTCATTAACCTTTATAGTACTGAACTGAAATTTTGATATAAATATATGTAAAATTTTGATTATGATTTCTTTAAAAATCTAGATTATACACTGTATAATCTTGACCACTATAAGAATACTATACTACTAGAAAATCTGCTGGAAACTTATGGTGAAAATCATTAACATTGATATATATAAAAATAGATATTTAGCATGACATTTCACTAAGGATAACCTGAATTTGTGACTAGCATCATCCTCACATGAGTGAATGTCTGAGACTGTCTTCTATTTAAGAAAAACAAGGAACAAACTTTCAAATAAAATGAATACATCTTTATTTCTTAATTCACTTTTTCATCTCACGGTAGTTACCTAGTAGTTACTGTGAAGACATAAATGATTGTCCACTGTCTACTGATTCTGTCATTTTTTTCTTATCCAACAAAATCTGAGTTTGGATTTTGGCATATACTCTTTCTCCATCTTGATCAAGTAGTTGACTGCATCTAGCTCCAGGAGTGAATCCTGAGGCATCTAAGCCAGTTGGGGTAATGCCACCATTTTGGTGAGTGAATAAATGGGGATGTAACCCAAGTATGGTGGAGGCTCCAGGGTATATCTGCTGGGAGGCTTCTGGAAGATGTTGCCCTATTCCTAAAAAAGAGCACAAGCAAGGAAATCACCTGTTCCCACTTGATGCTTTCTTGCCTGGATGTGAAGGCAGAAACTACCTGTCCTAGTTACTTTTTACTCATTGCTGAGACAAAATACCTGAAGCCCAAGTTGGGAAAGAAAAGTTTTATTTCTTACAGTTTTTGGAGGTTTCAGTCCACACTCAGTTGACTCCAAGACAGGTGGGAATGGCTGGGCCGCAGTTCATGGTGGCTGCAAACAGCAAGCGGGAACCAGCAAAGAGCAAGACACACCTTCTTCCTGCCATTACATCACACCCCTGGCTCCACCCCTTTTGTGGGTGGAGCACTGACATCATCAATCCAAGCGCTAGACAATGAACCAATCACAAATGCACAATGCAAACTCATGAGGCCTGGGGACCACAGACATAAACCATGACACTACCCTACCAACTTAGTGATTCCCACAGTTAAAGGAAGATGAAACCCAGAGAATCGTGGTGAAGGCAAGATTGAGGCTCTCATGATTTCTGTACTCTGGAGGGTGAGATAATAAGTGTCCCTGTCTTCTGTGCTGGCCTGAGTTGAGGTTAGAAATTACTTAGAGCCCAAGTAACTTGATACCGCTTAACCTGTGCTTGTATTATGCTTCTGACAGAATAAGCATTATGATGCCTGCTCTAGTGACAAAATCCAATGGGGTGTAAAGACAATGTTGAGGCATTTTGAAAGTGAGGGAATGGAGTCCAGTTCCACTTGTCAGCTGTCTGTCATGAGAGAGTGGAGCTGCATGGGAGGCAACAAATATATTTGGTTAGTTTGGAGCTAATGATAGAAGGCATTCTTCCAGCCACTGTCTAGTGGATTTTAGCACTTGACCTTCTGGTCTGAACTTGGAGTATCTGGTGAAACAGGCCCAAGATTGATAGTAAGGGCTGCCAGTATCCCAGCTTTCCTAGGTTCCCCCCTTTTTTTTGGGAAAAACATTTCATAATAAATAATAGAAGAATAACCATAGTTGATACACTGCATATTGTTATCTTCACAGTAGTTACTCAGAGTACAAAATATGTGCATAAAAAATTCTCCAAACAACATTAGCACAGACCTTTCAT